ATTATATTAACTATAATTAAATTTGTTCATTTCTCTATAAATTATTTGGAAATATGTAAACAAATGAAGTGAAGAAAGAAAAATGATAATTGTAATATTTATCTTAACATTTTCAAAACAAAATAACTGTTAATAATCATTTAATACCTTTACATAATATTCTTTTAATCACAAATATAAGAAGTTTTTTCTTTTGTATAATTTTTTACACAATATAAGAAAACACAACATATTTGACTAATTATAGATTCCTCTTTTTTTTAGTAAATTATTTTCAATTTTATAATTATTTTTGTTATATTTTAACATTTGTTTTTCTATAATTAAAATATTTTTTATTTTTCCTTATATTTACTGAAATATATTTCTTTAGAAAAAATTAGTTTTTTTTTAATAATGTTATTATTTATTATGGAATTCATTTCTATTTTTTTTTTTTTTTTTTTAGTAATTATTTATATAAATATTTTTTTTTCCTTGATTACTTTTTTGTAAAGTAATACTAATATCTTATTAAAACATATGGTTATCTCTAAACTATATATAAACACTCATCCTCTTCTTCATATCTTATTATTTTATCTATAGACGAAATATATAAATATACATAATTAGACTTATTTCTTTTTATTTTTTCTAACTATGAAGTTGAATTTCAGATTTTTTTTTTTTTTTTTTTTGAACTAGTTTTAATTGTATATAATTTATTAAAAATTAAAGAAAAAATTTTGATTGGTATATTATCATGAATATTACAATTTTTATTTTTTATTTTTGCACGGTTTATTTTTTATACTATTCTTTATTTTTATTATGTTAATCTTTTCTAACGTTAGAATTAATTTTTTTAGTAGGAATTTAAGTAATAGAACTTGTAAAAAGTTGCAATGTCTTTTATATTTCTATCATCATTTATAGAACTTTTTTTTTTTTATTCCTTTACTTAAATATATTACGAGTTTATTTTATGATTATTGCACTCACTTATTTTAATTTTAATTAATAGGACTGGTTGATTTAATTTTTCTTTTTCTTATTTTTGTTTGAAGAATTATTAATATTATTATTAAAATGTTTCATTTAATTATAATAATTCATATACAATATATAGCTTTTATTAAATGAATTAAAATTCATAGCATAACTATTTATATATAAATAAGCATAATAAAATTTATCAAATTTTAGATTTGTTATATATGTTATTATCATCAAATTTTATTCTTGTAAGTATTATTATAGTTTCTATTTTCATTTAATTTATCTTCTACAATTTTAGTCTTATAATATATGCTAAATTCATTTTCCTTATAAATTTTTTACTATTATAGAATTATGCAATTTTTTAGAGATAAAAAAAAAAAAAAATAATTTCTCTATATATTCATTAAAAATTTCGTAAATTAAATATTCTTGTTTTCCTTTTTTTTCAAATATTTGTTGTCTTCGTTATTGTAAAGAAATCTAGTAATATCATCTTTTGTTCTATTTTTTTATTTATCTCTATTTGAATTCCAAAACTTTTAATGTAACTATTTATTTTAGGAAAGAAATTTGATATAATTTTTTTAAGATTGTAAAAATATAGTAAATATTTTGTAATTTTGTTTTTCATTTCTGTTAATTGTTTTAAAGAATAATATAAATTATGAATAAAACTTATATTTTTATGTCTATATGACTATAATATTTTGTTATGTTCATTAAGAAATTTATAAATAACACATTTTTTTTTTTATTAAGTAATGATATTTTGATTAGTAACATAAATATTTAAATTATTATCTTTAAATATCCTAATTTTTTTTATTTTTAATATGGATAAAAAACTATTTTATTTTTTACTAAGATAAAAGGTTAATTTGTTAATTATCCTTAAATTCTTTAACCATTGTGATGCTTTTAATGATTAATTAAAAAACATTAAAATATTTTATACAATTAATGTTATAAATTATATTAATGTTATCATTACTAAAAATGTTGTTATTCCCATTTCCTAATTTATCATATATATAGAAATTATGTTACTTTATTTTTTTTATTATCTATCAAAATTTTATTTAATCTTAAAATGATTTCCATATATTTGTGAAATAATACTTTTATATTTTTATCAAAAAATTAAAAATGATAAATAAAATTTAAAAGAAAAAATTATAATAAAGATCAATAATTTTATGATTATCTCAATAGCCTTCTATTTTTTTTCATCTATTTTAAAATTTCTTATAATTTTATGACTGTATATTTTTTTTTTTTCTTTTATTCCTTTCTATTATTTTATTAAATTTGTAAAAAAAAAAATTTTTTTTTTTTTATAATTTGTTCTTAAAACAGAAATGTAAAAAGAAGAAATCAAGACTTACGTTTGAACAATTAATTTTCTTCTCTTTTTAACTAGATGCTATTGATCTTTATATTTTTTTCATCTATTAATTTTACTTATCATTATATATTGAATTTACTTTATTTTTATTCTCTTATTATTTAAGGATTTTTGTCTGCTTATTTTTTCATTTTTTGCTATAGTTTCTTTTTCACTTCATATATTTTTTCTATTGATTTACTCATATATATCCTAAAATTATACTTGTTCATTTTAAATACAACTTTCTATTTTTATATTATTTTCTAGCTTATTATTTCATATATTATATATTTAAAACCTTTTTATGATTTTTATTTTTATTCTTCATTATTTTATCTATGGTTATAATTTTTGTATTGATAGACCTTTTTTTTTTTTTTTTTTTTTTTTTTTTTTTTTTTTTTTTTTTAATT